CATCAAACATTGAGGAAGATGGGCTACAGCAGCAGAAGACCACACTGGGTGCCACTCCTGTCAGCTAAGAGCAGGAAACTGAAGCTACATTTCACACAGGCTCACCAAAACTGGATAATATGAAATTGGAAAAACATTGCCTGGACTAATGAGGCTTGATTTCTGCTGCAACATCCGGATGGTCGGGTCAGAATTTGGCGTCAACAACATGAAAGCATAGATCCATCCTGGGTTGTATCAATGGTTCAGGCTGGTGGTGGTGGTGTAATGCTGTGGGGGATTTTGTCTTTGCACACTTTGGGCCCATTAGTACCAATTGAGCATCATGTCAACACCACAGCCTACCTGAGTATTGTTGCTGACCATGTCCATCCCTTTATGACCACAGTGTACTCATCTTCTGATGGCTACTTCCAGCAGGATAACACACCATGTCATAAAGCACAAATCATCTCAGACTGGTTTCTTAAACATGACAATGAGTTCACTGTACTCAAATGGCCTCCAGAGTCACCAGAACTCAATCCAATAGAGCACCTTTGAGATGTGGTGGAACAGGAGATTCAAATCATGGATGTGCAGCCGACAAATCTGCAGCAACTGCGTGATGCTATCATGTCAATACGGAGCAAAATCTCTACGCCACAAAGGATTAAGGCAGTTCTGAAGGCAAAAGGGGGTCCAACCCAGTAAAAGTCAGGTGTACCTAATAAAGTGGCCGGTGAGTGTATACTTGTACACATCAGAATAAGCATTCACTTTATTTTTAAATATATTTGTTTCAACAAGTGACAATTATTTATTATTTCGTATTTTAAGTATTATGAATAATTATGACCTTTAAATTTTAAGTAGACATTTAATTAGCATTTTTATATTATTTGATTGGTTTTATTATTTTATTGTTTATTTATTTTTATTTGAGTCCAAAGTGTGAGATCCTGTATGATCATCTGACACAAAAAACTAGAGTAATGATGCTGAAAACTCAGCTTTGCATCACAGGAATAAACTGCATTATGATATACTGTATACGGGCGAGGCAGTGGCGCAGTAGGTAGTGCTCTCGCCTTACTGCAAGAAGGTCGCTGGTTCGAACCTCGGCACAGTTGGCGTTTCTGTGTGGAGTTTGCATGTTCTCCCTGCCTTCGCGTGGGTTTCCTTCCGGGTGCTCCGGGTTTCCCCCACAGTCCAAAGACATGCGGTACAGGTGAATTGGGTAGGCTAAATTGTCCGTAGTGTATGAGTGTGTGTGAATGTGTGTGTGGATGTTTCCCACAGATGGGTTGTGCCTGGAAGGGCATTCGCTGGAAACTTGCTGGATAAGTTGGCGGTTCATTCTGCTGTGGCGACCCCGGATTAATTAAGGGACTAAGCCGACAAGAAAATAAATGAATGAATGATATATACGAATAGAAGATCGTTATAAGAGGAATAATAATAAATAATTTATATTTTTACACCAAACAAACACAAAAACTTCTTTCAAGAACATTAAAAAAACATTTCAATGGCACTGTAGAAATATCAACAAAAAATATACAAAGAAAAAAAATCAGAAATCCTATGTGTGTGCATGCATGTGTGTGTGTGTGTGTCTGAGACTGTATGAATCTTATCCAAAGGTTAAGAAGTGTGTGTCAGACTTGGGCAGGAAAACTGGCTGCACAAGAAAGGGAATAACCTGCAGTCGGCAGATGGAGGACAGCATGTGTTCTCACACACACACACACACATTCTCTAACACACACTCATTGCACACACATACACTCTCAAACACTCACAAACACACACACATCCTTCAACAAGTCCTGGACGCAACACAGACATACTCTCTCTCACACACACTGACTTCCACCCACACTTGCACACTCACTCACGTACACACAGACATACAAACACACATGCAAGCATACTCATTACACATATACACTCTCTCAAACTCACTCATTGCACAAACAAACTCTCTCACACACTCAATCACTCACAAACTCACCAGCACACACTGATGCGCTCACACAAAAACGCACAGACATATATGTGAACACACTCCTGCTGTAGTGTGTCCATGTCTTCCAGCCTCTGCGGAGTGTTGGAAACAGCACTGATTAGGAGAACAGCATTTCAAGTGAAGCAGAACAAAAAAAAAAGAAGAACAACGAGAACACAAGACGAACAAGAAAAACCCTGAGAATAATCCTGCAGACGCGGAGAGGATCTGAGAGCGAGACGCTGCTGAACATGCAGCTTGTAGAGCCGCACAGAATATGATGAACAATCAAGAACTGTGTGAAAAATGAAATGAACATTAACCCGACAGGTCAGATGCTCCACGCTCAAATAGTCTGAGTGAAATTAGATTTTAAAAAACATTAATTATAGTGTGTTTGTGTGGCTGCGTAATATTAGATAATATCATTTATAATGTCTGAAAATGAGCATTTATAGACTCGCTTTTTCAGGGGGAAAATGATTACAAAATAAACTTATAATAGAGATTTTGTTTTGTCCTGAATGACAAATATTGCCTTAAAGGGACAGTTCACCCAAAAACACACAATTCTATCATCATTTTCTCATTCTCCACTTTTTCTTAACCGGTTTGAGTTTCTAAAAAGTCTAACAAGCACAAACTGTAGGAAATCACAACCGCAGGCATTTAAGAAAAAATGTAAGAAAAAAGTCTTTCTACATGTAAGAAAAAAGTCTTACAGTAGCCAAAACTGCTTGAAAAACTACAGGTTTATCTGTTTTAGGTAAAAATAAATGAATAAATAAATACATAAATAAATAACTAAATAAATAAATAAATAAATAAATAAATAAATAAATAAATAAGCACAAAAATATATAATGATATAAATTATTAAATAAATTAATAAATAAAAAATACATGAATAAGTAAATAAATAACCCATAAATAAATAAATAAATAAATAAATACAAGCATAAATGAAAAACAATTAATTAAATAAATAAATAAATAAATACATAAATACATAAATAAATAAATAATGATATGCTGCCTTAACAAACTAAAAAAGTTTTATCTCTTCTAGGTAAAAATAAATAAATAAATATATACATAATTAAAGAAAACATATAAATAAATAAATAAACAAACACATAAATATATAATGATATAAATAATTAAATAAATAAATACATAAATAATTAAATAATGAAATAAATACATGAATAAGTAAATAGATAAATTCATTAATAAATACATAAATAAATATATAAATAAATACATAAACAAATAATGATATGAATTAATAAATAAATAAATACAAGCATAAATAAAAAATGTAAAAATAACGATATATATATATATATATATATTATTTATATTATAATAAATATATATATATATATATATATATATATATATATATATATATATATATATATATATATATATAGCTAAATAGAGATTCAGTTGCTCTAACCCTGATATCTTGATACTTCACTCTACTTTCATTGATCAGAATAAGAAAATCTGTCACAATTGGGTGAAATCAAATGCTCATTACCATATACACACTACCTGAAAAAAGACTTGTTGTCGATCCCAGTTGTAAGTAAAATAGCAAAAGGTAGATTTTTTCTTAAGAATTATCTAATACCAGAGGAGAGGGCAAATTTTTCAGCAGGATAGCGCTCCTTCTCATACTTTAGCCTCCACATCAAAGTTCCTGAAAGCAAGGGAGGTCAAGATTGGCCAGCCCAGTCACCAGAATAAACATTGTTGAGCATGTCTGGGGTAAGATGAAGGAGGAGGCATTGAAGGTGAATCCAAAGAATCTTGATGATATCTGTGAGTCCTGCAAGGAACGCTTTCTTTGCCATTCCAGATGACTTTAATAAGTTATTGGAGTCATTGCAGAGATGTACAGTTGAAAGCAGACGTTTACATACACTCTAAAAAAAAGGACCATAACCATTTATTTTAAATGTCTGATGGTAAATCATACTAAACGTTTACTTTTTTAGGTCCATTAGGATTACCTAAAGGATTTACATTTGCTAAATGCCAGAATATTGAGAGAATTTATTTATTTATTTATTTATTAATTAATTTCTAGACAGTCAAAAGTTCACACACATTTCCTTGGTATTTTTTTAGCTTTGCTTTTAAACTGTATAACTTTGGTCAAATGTTTTGGGTTTTGTGTTTACCTCAGTTAAAGTTGTTGCACGTCCGCTGGTTCCTGTCTCAAAATGAGCGAGTTTGAGCCACTTGTACATTCAGGAAGCGTTCATAAAAAACAAAACACCAGCAAAGAAGCTCGACACAAAGGAACTTTAACACCTCACTGCCAACTAGTGTTTCGGAAGTGTTAATGCGGACCAACAGAGACAGAAAAGTATAAATGCACAGCCACGCGCATTGCATGCGCCGTGGGTTACGCCGGTCACTTGACGCAGAAGTATAAACCAGGCTTAACCCACTAAAGGTAAAATCTACCCGCATTTGGTGGGTGTTAATGTAAAGCCCTGCATGTATGTATGCAATTACTGCCATATCAGCAACTTATTGCTGCTCCATGGTCAAAATCAATATCAATAAAAAACATTACATGATAAGAACGATACACAAACAAACATATAAACATGAATAAATAAATAATTAAATACAATTCACAAAAACTGTATATTCAAATTTTTAAATTCAACATTTGATAAATAACTTAAAATATATCCTGGTGACAGCTTTTTTAAAACATATATCAGTGTGTTTTCATCATAAAAATCGGGTCTAATGGGACTTATATTATATTCTTATAGTATATTATATACTTATATTCAATTAAAATATGTTTTCAAAGAGCAACACTACACACAAAAAGGTGATAATTGATAATTGATAATTGAGGTGATTAAGTGTGAGAGGTTGGAAAATGTTGAATTAAGCCATTTCATATTTGATTTTGGTGCAAAAGGCTAACCTTGGTAATGAAGGGAAAAACATTATGTAAGGGAATATTTTGACCTACCGTGAGCGCTGATGTTTCAGTGTATGATTTGGAGGCCCATTGTTGCCGGAGAGTAGGAGGAATCCAACCGTCACATCTCTTCTTCAGTCTGAGAACTGTCTCACACTCCTTGTTCTCTCTATTTGTGTGTGTCTGTCTATCTACCAATTCCACAGATCCGCAGAAAGAACAGATGCATCAGGAATCCAGGAGCTCAAAGCAGCATCCCTGATATACCTGCAGAGGAAACAAGAGAGACTGAGATCAGATGTTTGCTCAGGTAATTATGCAAGTAGGCCGTTATCACAAATTGAACCATGTCAAGGCGATAAGGGCCCTGACATGAAGCTTCAGCTATAAAATAAATAAATAAATGCACGGACAAATAAGTGCATGATTAAATGTGGAAACAAATGCATAAACCAATGCATAATTGAATAAAAGCACATGTGCATTAATAAATGCTTTATTGATGCATAAATGCATGAACTGACCTATACACAAACAAAGAAGAAATGCAAACATGAGTGAATAGATGAATAAATAGATTGATGCACAAATAAATGCTGGGTTAAATAAAAACAAATCTAAATGCATAAACGTGCATAAATAAATGCATAAAGCAATGCATAAAACAAAGGAAATAAATGAATGAATGAATGAATGAATGAATTGAAGTTTTAATTATCTTAATATGTTTAAATTGTTCACAATTTATCTGAGAAGCATAAACGTAGCACAGTTATCAAGAAAATGATTGGTTGATATAGATAATACAGTTTACAATTATTACATACAAATACATACAAATTCATGAATGAATGAATGAATGAACAAACTAATGAATGAATGTTGGAATGAATGAATAAATTAACATTAATAAATTAATGAATAAATCCACAAATGAATAAATGCATGAGAGAATGAATGAATGTTGGAATGAATGAATTAACATAAAAAAATTAATGAATGAATGCACAAATGAATAAATGAATGATTGAATAAATACATGAATGAATGAATGAATGAATGTTGTAATGAATCAATGAATGCAAGTATGAATGAATGAATAAATTAATGTTGAAATGAATAAATGCTTACATTAATGGATGGATGAATGAATGGATGAATGAATGAATGAACACATGAATGAATTAATGAATGCACAAATGAATAATTGCATGAATGAATACATGACTGTTGGAATGAATTATTGTTGGAATAAAATAATTATCGAATGAATGTATAAATGCATGAATGAATGAACAATAATGCATTAACGAATGAATGCACAAATGAATGAAGGCATGAGTGAATGCATGCATGAAAGAATGTTGGAATGAATAAATGCATGAATAAATGAATAATTAAATGAATGAATGAAATGCACAAATGAATGAACACATGAATGAATTAATGAATGAATGCACAAATGAATAAATGCATGAATGAATAAATGTTGGAATGAATGAATAAATGCATGACTGAATGAATGAATAAATGAATTCATGAATAAATGCACGAGTGAATGCACGAATGAATGAATGTTGGAATGAATTAATTAATTGATTAATTAATTAATGAATGTTGGAATAAATTAATAAATGCATGATTGCATGAATGAATGAATGAATGAATGAATGAATGAATGAACGAACGAACGAACGAATGAACGAACACCAATGAATTAATGAATGAATGCACAAATGAATGAGTGAATGAATGCTGGAATGAATAAATGAATGTGTGAATGAATGAATGAACATCTTTATCTAAAAGCAAATGAACAGCACATTTTCATTCTTCTCATGAACTGCCCCATTAATGACTCCCTCAAATTGTCTCCTGTTAAACAGTCAATCAGCTTCTCGCCTCATTGCTATGGAGCTCAGACTGCTGCTGTTTCATTTGGGAGAGAATATATTTACCATCTCCACCCCTCCGGCCTTTAATTCAATCCAGCCATCAGAATCAATGATGTCTTTAAAATGCAACCAGCTCTCAGTATCTGAACACAGAGATGACTTCAGTGTGCAGAATAATCTGATCGAATATAAGACGACATACAGGAAGATCCAGAGCAGAGGGAGGAAGATTTAGGAGGAGGAGGAGGAACAGACAGCGCAGATAAAGCACAATTTATACCAGTGGCGTAGATTTAGGGTGGACGGAGGAGACACATCCCCATCAATATCCAACGATCATTGAAATGTTGGCATCAATAATTTAATCCACTTTTTTTTTTTTAAATAGCACTATCAACATCAACCTAGACACGCAGAAAGGGTTCAATTCAGTGGTTCAATTACGTTCTTTATACACCTGGAAAAAAAACACTTGTGCATTTTTAAGCTGTTGCTATGGGGGTCATCAAGCCTAGCAACCAGACTAAATAAGTTAAACATACAAGTCACGTTTTGTCACTTGTTTTCACGTTTTTTTTAAATTTATTATAATTTATTTATTTTTTATCAAACTCCTAAAGTCACAATGAAACTTTATTCATTCATTCATTCATTTTCTTGTCGGCTTAGTCCCTTTATTAATCCGGGGTCGCCACTGCAAAATGAACCGCCAACTTATCCAGCAAGTTTTTACGCAGCAAATGCCCTTCCAGCCACAACCCATCTCTGGGAAACTATGAAACTTCACTTTACAAAATATTTTTTCTGCATTTCAGCACACACACACACAAACAAAGATGTGCACACAAAAGCACAGACACACACACACACACATTTAAGCAAATATAAATTTTGTTTTGTATTGATATATAATCATTTTTGTTTTTTTTTAAATTATTATTATGCATTCATTCATCAGTCCCCTTATTTATCAGGGTTTACCACAGCGGAATGCACCGCCAACTTATCCAGCACGTGTTTTACACAGCAGATTCCCTTCCAGCCGCAACCCATCACTGGGAAACATCCATACACACTCATTCACAAACACACATATACACTACAGCCATTTAAGTTCATCCATTTCACCCAGAGCGCATGTGTTTGGACTGTGGGGGAAACCGGAGCACCGGAGGAAACCCTCATCAACACGGGGAGAACATGCAAACTCCACACAGAAATGCCAGCTGACCCAGCTGGGACTCAAACCAGTGACCTTCTTGCTGTGAGGTGACAGTGCTAACCACTGAGCTACGGTGAACTATACAAAATCCATGACCTTAACTTGAATTCTGCATTACAGATAAAAGCTATATTAATAAATAAATCTGCATCAATTGCATTGTTGATTAGGTTATCGTGTGAGAAAGGTGATTTCTCGTTCCTCATTCAACTTAAAATTGCAAATGGTAATAGAGAGGAACTGAATGCAAATACTTCAGCAACAAGAGAAGCTGCATTTCTGCTTTTCACTTCAGAGGGAAATTCATGAAATCCAAACTCACATGTGGACAAGAACAACGTCTATAGCAAGCTTAAAATAATACATAACAAATATCATTTACTAATAATAACAAAATAAAACAATAGAGAATTAGGGGCAGCATGGTGGCACAGTGGGTAACACAATCAAATCACAGAAAGAAGGTCGATGGTTCAAGCCCCGGCTAGGTCAGTTAGCATTTCTGTGTGGAGTTTGCATGTACTCCCCGTGCTCACGTTGGTTTCCTCTGAGTGCTCCGGTTTACCACACAGTCCAAAAACATGCGCTATAGGTCAGTTGAGTAAACTAAATTGTCTATAGCAGTGGTTCTCAAACTTTTTTCATCAAGTACCACCTCAGAAAAAAATTGTCTCTTCAAGTACCACCATTAAAATGAGCAGCACTGAAATACAGTAGCGTAGTTGGCACAGTTAAGCAGCTACAACTCTGCACAGTTAAAAAACGTGGCAGATTACCTCAGAAATATAGGCTATATGTCATATATTACATATTATATGCATAATTTTTGATACATTTTGAAATGTGTTTAGCATGTACCATGACATATTTCATTTCTCTGCGTACCACTACACGTACCACAGTTTGAGAACCACTGGTCTATAGTGTATGTGTGTGAATGTAAAAGTGTCTGGGTGTTTCCCGGTGTTGGGTTGCAGCTGGAAGGGCATCTGCTGCGTAAAACATATGCTGGATAAGTAAGTGGTTCATTCCACTGTGGCGACTGCTGATTAATAAGGGGACTAAGCCAAAAAGAAAATGAATGAATATAATTTTTTTTTTTCAAAATGAGATGCTGTTTTCCAGAAAACAAAATAAAAAACAGAGAGAATTAATTTCTTCCTTTCAAAATGAGCTGCTGTTTTAAAAAATAAAAAATAAAAAACAATAAAATAAAACAATAGAGAATTAATTTATAGGTCAAAATGAGATTATTTTCCAAGAAATAAAATAAAAACTAAATAAAATTAAACAAAACATTAAAACAATAGAGAATTAATTTCTTTTTTTCAAACTGAGAAGCTGTTTTCAATAAACCAAAATAAAATGAAAATAGAGGATTTTTAAAATGCAATGCTGTTTTTCAGACTATAAAAACAGTTTGAGTAGCATTAACATGCTGTAAATACTAAAAATGATAAATAAATAAATAAAATATTCTTTAAAACGTCCATAAGATGTAGCAAGACTTTAAAAGAACACACCAAAATCCAAACTGAAAATATGTGCAATCATCATCATCATCATCATCATTATTATTATTATTATTATTATTATTATTATTATTATTATTATTATTATTATATAATTATTATTATTATTACTATTATTATTATTATTATTATTATTATTATTATTAAATATTATTATTTATATTATTATTATTATTATTATTATTATTATTAAATATTATTATTATTATTATTATTATTAATATAAATATTATTATTATTATTAAATAATTAAATAATAATAATAATAATAATAATAATAGGATTCCTGCTTTGGGAAGATCTACTGATCAATTCTTTAGTCAGATAAGAAAGATTTGAACCGTGCTATTAAATGTGCAAAGGTCATTTATTTAATCTGCTGTTTCATAAATGTCTAATAAAGCTGAGAGTTTCTCTCAGAAAGTTCTGTTTATCCAGAGTACAACAAACACCTTCAGCTTCTCCGGTGACAACTGAGACACCAACAGATTCAAAACAATCCAAGAAACAGAGCAATTTCACTTCACTGTCTGTGTCTGAGCAGAGTTTACAAATTATCACCATCTGTTTTGCCAGCAGAGAGTATTCTAGCATTGCTGTTTTGTGTAGGCAGGGCTA